GGGGGGGGGGGGGGGGGGAATTCTGGGAGTTGAAGTCCACCCATCTTAAAGTTGCTGAGGTTGAGGAACCCTGGGCTAGATGATCTGAAAGATCTCCTCCATCTCTTACATTCTAGGATTTTAAGTGAGTTCCTGGAAATGGCATGAGAATACATAGAACCATAGGAGGGTGGAAAAGACGGTGAGCACAAAATGGGGTCAGAACATGACACCATATATTTCCCCTCCTTCTTTTCAAGTGTCCCCTAAATCTGTTTCTCCTATCCATCCACCCCCTTCAGGGTTTGCATATCTGTACTTTGAGAAGCAATTGGATGGGGCACGTGGGCCAACAGAAATAAAAAATGGAGGAATCTGAATTAGAGAATGAATAGACTTCTATAAAATTCATTTTCTCTGAAATGGATCTTTTATTGGATTAAAAAAAAAAACCTGTGTTCTGGATCAAATGGGTAGCTTTGTGTTTGGAGGCTCAGCCCCCACCTCAGCCTTATATTCAGATTCTTGGACAAGTATCTTGCCTTAGCTTGACCAAGTTGCCTTCTGTGGGAGGAAAAAAAAAAACCTTTGTGCATGGCTATGCAAATGGGCAAATTCTCCAGCTATTGCGTTGATGCCCAAACCCTCCTCTCAACAGGCCAATATGAGAAGGGTTAGGGACCTCCATTTTTCTAAAGATTCTTTGACGAAGCCTCACTTAACTTAAGGATCATACCAAGTATAGTTTCAACTGCATGAATGTTCTTGAGAAGAAGAATCAAAAAGCAGTCTTGAAGGACCGTAAGTAGCTACCATAGTAGGTCTAAGAGGGAACGATCCTTTAGTGTCAAGGAAAGCTTTTTTCCCCTACTACCAATACAACTTCAGGGAGATGATTTCTAATGAAAGAGAAGAGGATAAAACTGCTTTTTTCCCTGCTCTTAGTGCCAGGAGTCCTGTTTGTGTGTCTTTTAATTCATTCCTGCAATTAACAGCCAATCCATTTCAGTCCTAAGTGCTCACTATCCTGGTTACTATGGTAAGCAGTTTTATTAATCTAGAGCCACATGCTAAAATGAATGCACTTGAGTTCATTATGCTTCAGCTTAGCAAAAAGTAGGACATATCTCCCTAACTGGCATTATTAACACACAACAAAAGTAGAGTGGAAGAGAAGCAGCTAGGAAACTGATTTGCTCCCCTAATAATAACCTACCTGCTAATCCCACCATTTCAGTAGTATGATCATTTGAAGTATAATTCATAAATTGTTAAATCTGGATGCTGACTTTCACAGAAGACTATTTTTGCATCCAGCTCTTAGTCAAAGGGATATGCATACTGTGGACCCATCCATAGGAAGATAGGTGAGCCAAAACCCTTTCAAAATCAATAGGATTTAAGCAGCACAAGAGAACATGTCTCTTATATTGATTTTAATATGCATACTGAAAGACAGTAGTGTTTTAGGTTCTTCAGCAAAAGTATAGCCGAAAATGAACTCTTCCTGGAGAAAGACCAGTTTTTAATGTAACGCTTCTATCCCAGCGAACTGGTCTGTGATGCCCCTGGTACTTTGAAACATCATTGTCCAGGACAACATTCTGTTAAAAGGACTAGTAAGCAATTCATGTCGCTTACAGGATATCTGTTTACAGAAAAAAACCTCTTTTTTGCCAGAAAAAAGCTGTCTTATGAAATATGTAATTTCTATCTCATTCTCTCCTATAATAAGGAGTTTTAAGGTGGAAAACAGACAGCCTATTAATCTTTTAAAAAGAAAAAGAAGACACCCTTTTGGCTAACACTGCAATGAAAATGGGAATTGGTGTTCCTTTACAAGCTGGCCTGTTACAAAATTAACTTAAATGCAAACTCAGAACGGACCATTTAAGATCAAACTGGAGAAATGTAGTTCATCCATACTGGAAGAGAGATATCTAGTGGAGCATTGAAGCATTACGCAAATTGGTCATTGCTAGAGATGCTGAAGAGAAGTATCTTTCTTTGCCCTATCGTGCAATCCCATCATTTGAAAACTTTGTTGTAATAAAAAAAAGAAAAAAGAAAAACCCTCTACAGATTGGAAGTATACTTTTAATCAA